CAAAGCTCAGAGTGGTTTCTGAAATCCTTGGGAAATGAAAAAATGTTGCATGCAATTGACACCCCCTTTCTAGTGGAAAAGGGCCTACATGTAAATAAGAAACAGGCCAGCTATTGAGAGCTCCTTTCTGGTGGGAAATGAATCAGGAGTTGTCATTTCTATATAATTGGGAGGAGAAGCTAAAGCTCGGGGCAATTTCGTTGCAGAATCTCCTAGCCTGGAGCAGAGCTGGGGTCGGTGACAGGAGGCCTGACACTGCCAGGCCAGTCTCTCTGAAAAGTAAAGACACCACCAGACCTTAGAATTATTCAGGTTTTAAGGAACTGGTCCAACGCAAGGCCAATTTCCAAATTAGATTAAGTTGCTTGGAGCTTTGCCCACTGGAAAGACAACTGTGGCTTCAGTGATACCGAGACAAAGCCCTTCAATGAGAAATCTATGGGTAGTAGCAAACTCTGTTCCTGAAAACCTAAAGCCAGCCAAGGATCCTGCTGTTGTGCCCAGTTCAGCTGTTGACTCTCCAGCTGCCCCATGTTCCCGGGGGCTGTTTGCCGTGGGGAGAGGAGCAGCTGCCTGCACTCTGAAATGTCTGAGTTTTCCCAAGATACTCATTGTCTGTCTGCAGCACCAGCCTCCACCCTACTTGCTCACTCAACCGTGGCTGATCTATCTGTAATTAAAGAAGAGGAAAAATTTGAGATTTCATTTTCTTTCCTCAACTGGATTTCCTATTTTCATCACATTTTGTGAAGTCCCCTCACCTTACTTTTGTCTTGTAGTTTTGCTGTGGGACCTTTTGTGGTGTGTCTCCTCTAATAAATTAAGGAAGAAAGGAGAAAAACAGATTGTTTTGGGCCAGGGAATTAAGATCCTGGGTCAGATGGCTGCTACGGTCATTAACATATTTACATTTTTGCTTAAGAGCCTCGTTAAGGATCAAGGGAGTTAAGGCTGATTGTCATTGAAATGCGGATGAAACCTTGCATGAAATCGCCGTTAGTGTCTTATTGTCTGTGGGGACGAGGCGGGGCAAGCGGCTTCCCCATCCCTGCTCACTCGCTGCCCGAGTTGGCCGGGCAGAAGGGAAGGCTCCGTGGTGCCTGTGTGCTGTGGGAGCTCTGCTCCCCGTGGGGCTGGAGCGGGCTCAGCACGGCCCTGCTGCTGCCTCAGGCACTGTCTGCCCTCGGGTGAGACCCTGGTGCTCGGCTGGGCTTGTGGGACAATTGGCCCCGAAGGAGATCATGGATAAATGCATGAAGCGGCTAGCAAAGGTCAGTTGCCTCTTTTATAATTGATGGAGTTGAGTGCTTTGAGTCTGCTGTCACATGTTTTTTGCACTGGTGCATCATCACCTGGAGTGCTCTTTGTAGTTTTGGGTGTCGTGTTATGAAAAAGATATGAAGCTGTCAGAGAGTGTCCAAAGCAGGCCATGAGGATAATGCAAGGTCCTGAGGGAAAACTGTGTGAGGAGTGGCTGAGGTCACTTGGTTTGTTTGGCCTGGAGGAGACTGAGGAGACCTCACTGTGGTCTTCAACATCCTCATGAGGGGCAGGTTCTGATCTCTTTGCTCTTATGACCAGTGACAGGACTCGAGGAAACAGCTAGAGCTGGGTTGGGAAGAGGTTTATGTTGAATATCTAAGGGTGATTGTACACTGGAACAGGCTCCCCAGGGCTGTGGTCACAGCACCAAGTCTGTCTGAGCTCAAGAAATGTTTGGACAACACTCCTGGGATTCTTGGGCTGTCCTGCATAGGGCAGGAGCTGGATGGAGCATGGAGGACTTGATGATCCTAATGGGTGCATTCTAGCTTACACATTCTGTGACTCTATGATTTGCCATGTGTAGGAACAAAGGATATGCAGGGCCTGCTCAAGCCCTTGATTTTTGTGGATAGCTGTGATATCAGAAACAGCGTTTGAAGAAGTTTTAAGTATTGGTGTGGATTTTGAGTGGTGACAGATGACATTTTTATATGCTTTTTATAGAGAAATGTTGTACAATTAAAATTTGTTTAAACAGAAATAAGAGGACTTTGTTACAGCTGGGGTTGGCAGAAAACATTCTGCTCCAGGTTGCAGAACCTGTGCTCTGGGCCTGCTCTGAGGTATTTGAGTTCAGATGTCAGCTGTTCATTGTTCATCTCTTACTCTCACATTGTTCAGATCCACAGTTATACTTCAAACTTATTTCTAATTATTATCATTAACATGATGCCAAAAAAAAATTATATATAATAACATGGAAGAGGAGAAGAGACTCAATAGCCAAATTACACTACAGAAAACAGCAGCTACCTTCTGCCACTGCTTTGATTTTTGTGGAGCAAGCAGCAAAACTTCAGTGAGCTGAAGGAGGAATGATGGTGCCTATTGGTGTGAGAAAGAAGCAGATTCACCTGTAGCCACCAGACAGCTACAGCTTCAGCTGTGCCTTTGGAAGCCAGCAGCCAGTAACAGCAACATCTTGAGTGACAGGATGTATCAGGTCCAGCAGTAGTGAGTCTGAAGTCATTTGTGTGTCCTTGTGGTGAAGCCATTGTGTAATTTCTGTTCCTGGTTATAAAATGCTTCTTTTTGAAAGGCTTGAAAGCAGAACAAAATCTGAGAAAAGTGGTTTGTGATCTCAGCAGCTCTTTTGTTCTCTGGAGGCCTGTGTGCTTCAGCTCTGTATCTCATCTGCCGTTTGAAGGAATAGCCATGTCTCCTGGGGCTGCAGCCCTTGGTCTTCCTACAAAGTCGGTGACCACACAGCATGGGGAGAGTCCCACACTTTGGGTGCTGACCTTGGCCCTCAAAGTAGAGAGATACTTAAGTCTTCAAGGAGCAAATGGTTTTATCCTAGACAAGCTAGGTTCTGACATTTTAAATATCAAGATACAGTTAATGTCATGCAGTTAAGTAAGACGTCGGTTCTCAAATGTTTTAGAGAAACAGGGATGAACAGAGCAGAATCTATGGGGTTGCAGGTCTTAGATCCATTCACTGAATGACTGATCTCACAGCTCCTACAAATTCCCCTTGAGAAAGGTCATCCCAGGTATTGTGCTAATAATACTTTATTTCCTGGGTATGTGTGTCTGGAATTGAGCACCACAAACAGGCTGGCCTGAGGGTCACAGCAGGAGCCAAAACTCATCAGAGCTGATCCTGAGAGCAGAAGCCCTGAATTTTGGGGTTGGTTTTAGGGTTTGATCTGTTAACTAAAAGCATCAGAGTGGGCCAGAGTAGGGGAGCTAAACTTCTCCAGGGATTAATATTAAGCCTTTGTTTAACAGTAAACAGCTGATGAAATCCACCTTTGGCTCTGGGTGCCATCTGTCAGGGAGGTACATCCAGGCCACCTCACAACAGCAGGACAACCTTTGGCAAAGAACAGGAGAGAGTGCCCAGCTCTGACTGTGCACAGGTCACTTGGTTTATCTTGTTTTGTGTAATCCCCAGCAGCTTCTTCACAGAGGGGCTGCTGCTTTGACCAAAGGTACATAGCCCTACTCCAGCAAGGAGCTGTGACCTCCCCTCCTCAGGTTAGATAGCTCCTCCTCAGCCAAGAAGCTGGGGAGATCAGAGCAGTGGGACAAAGGTGTTCAGGCCAGAAGGAGATGGAGCCAGATCCTCACACATGGGCACTACAGCCTCTAAACAAGAGTCCTTGCCTGAGGCTGGTCTGTTTTATAGCAGTTCTGCTCACTGCAGGGCCGTGCCAGCCCTGCTGCTGGCAGGCTGCATCCTCTGCCACATCCTCGTTCCCACCCCCTCCCTTGCCAAGGCACTTCACCCCGCTGTGTTTGATCGAAGGCCCGGCGCCTGTTCAACTTTTGTTCTCCATTAGGAAAGAGTGAGGATTGATAGGACCTTTTTGGCTCTGCCAATGTCCTATTATGTCCCAAATGTTTCCATGAAAAGACTCCCTCCTGACCACCCTGGCCCCTGACAGCCATTCAATCCAGCCAACAAGCTTGATATCATTATCTACAAAAGGAGGCCAGCAAGCAACAGTGTCCTCACAGCCAAGTTTGGGAAATCAAAGGCAAAATCTCCCAGCAACAGTGAACTGGTAGAGATCAGACTGCACCAGGGCTAGTGCAGACTGGTCTGGCAGCTTGCAGCCACTAGTTTTCCAAGCACATCAGAAAGGTGCTCGGCGTGGTGCCAGCACTGGCTTTGTCAGGGCTGAGGCTGTGCCCTCTGAGCCGGCAGCCCCTCACAGAGTGCCCTGGAGGCCACTGGAACAGTCATTAGTTTGGACAGCCTTGTTAAGGTGTCTCTTTTCATGTGCCATTTCTAGATTAGCCACTTAGGCTCAGGGAAAACAGTGATGTTTTTGGTCAAAGTGGGATTCACTCCAGGTCTTACCTGGGACTTTCCTTCTAATGACTCTGGTTTACGCTCTCAAAATGGCATGTGGCTGCTTTGTCACTTTTAGTTTGACATGGTGTTCATCTGCTTTGCTCCCTGTCCAAATATTTTCTTTCCCAAGTGTCTTAAAATAGCTCTTCAGCAGTGAAAGCACTTACCATAGTGAAGGCATCTGTAGAGATGATCTGGAAAGGTGACTGTCAGAAACACTGAGCACAGAAAGGGCTTGAGGAGGGATGGCATGTTCCTGTGGTGCAATTGTGTTAGGAAATAGGAGAGTAAAACTGTTTCCAGTGCATTTTATCTCACAAACTGCATCTCTGGTTTGCTTGATGTTCCAGATAGAAGGAGACATTAAAAATAGATGAGAAATGATGATGCAGAGGGCAGGAAGGTGAAGGGAGCTGATGTAGCTGAAGCTTGGGTAGAGATGGAATGGTGGTGTGGATGATGGTGCCTGGACTCACCCCACTCTGCAGCAGGGTGCTTTCCAGTCCCTGGGTGATTGCAGGGCAGTGTCAGCAAAGCCTAGAGCAGCCCCTGGGTCCCTGTGGGTCTGCAGTGGATGATGAATGCCTAGGAGGACAGAGTTGTGTGTAACATGAGGTTGTTAATTGTGGCACTCTCCCCTCCTCTCCCAGTTTGATCCTGACAACACTGGCTACATCAGCACTGAGAAGTTCCGCTCCCTTCTCCAGAGGCATGGCTCGGAGCTGGACCCCCACAAGCTGGAGGTCCTGCTAGCCCTGGCAGACAGCAACTCTGAGGGGAGGATCTGCTACCAGGACTTCGTCAACCTGGTGAGTGCTCTGGCTGGCAGGGCCTGACAGTCCTTGGCTCTGCTTAAAACATGGGCTGTTGAGGGACAGTGTCTCTCTCTCTCTTTCCTTCCCTTTATTAACACCAGTGTTTGCTGCAGCACATCCTGCATGGACTTGCTGAAGTATTCAGTGGTGACTGAATGCTTCAACAAGAGTCAAATTACTTCTGAGTTTTCCAGGGAAACAAATTTGCATGGGAAGGACCTGTAGGAACTGTAGTAATATCATGAAGCAATGGCTGCTGCTACTTTAGAAGTTTTTGCTCTCAGTATCAGTTGTATCTGCTGTAATGAGCTATTTGTTTGCAAGCAGAGGTCTGTCAGTCTGAATGTCTCCTGTTTTATCTAGAGTTCACCACTTCCAGACAAAAATATATAGATAACGTGTTGACATGCTAGGTGGAGTCGTACTGCACTGCTGTAGGCATCAACAGCAACAGGGATGAAGTGTTTCTAGGTCACGTTCATTTTATCCCTGGTGAGGTGTCTCAGAGTGCATGACTCATGATTTGGATGCCTCTCTATCTCAACTAATGAGTCAATTAGTGAAGGGGATCGCTCTGTTTCTTGTCAAGACAGTTTGTTGAGTCAACACAATTGTAGACATGTGTTGTCAGGTGCCCAGTATAGCTTAGAAATGGTGTTTGCAAAATATCTTGGACACTGGCCATTCATAGGCTTTGGCTTGTTCTTATTCTGTCATTGAACACCCGAACCCCAGCAGATTTAGTGAAATATTAATATAAGCCTGGGTGACAAAGTCAAAGAGGAATTGAAGTTGATGGCATCTCTGAGGTTTCTGTGGAAAGCTGGATGTGTCCTTTTTGCAGAGTACAGTAATTTGCATCTCTGTGTGTTCTGCAGAAATGCGGGGATTTGATCCCTTCATTTGTCATGGTCACTCATGCATGTGTTCTTGGTTTAGAAAGAGTCTTGCGTATGTCCTGTTTTCATATTAAACAGAAAAGTATGATAACATGGCCCAGCTGTCAAGGATCGTGACCTCCATTGGGCTGTGGGCAGTGTCAGGGTGAAGTTACTTTGCTGGAATGACATAAACCTGCTGTATCTAACCAGGCAGTCTTGTAAGCCCCTTGCCCATGTCTAGATACACAGGAAAATAAATGCAGCAGCTCTTAAACATATTTCACAGTGTGAGGTTTTCCTCAGCTCACACACCAAACAGTGTGGTCCTCAGTGCTCAGCAGAGTATTTATAGTAACAGCTGCTTGTTCCACAGTTGGGGATATTCAAAGTACTGTGCAAGCGTTCACTAATTGGGCTGCACAACATTTAGGTAGCAGGAAGGGGCATCATCAAATTTCTTTTACAGAAATGATGGCCTAGGGCCAGCCAACACATTGGCAACAGGCTCAGGAATAGAACTGGGCTTTCTTCTTGCTCCACAGGGCTTGGGAGCAGCACAAACTAATGAGAGGTAGGTGGGAGCTGAAATGCTTGGACATTCTTCTCCTTTGGGAATAGGAGACCGTGCCAGCTCACACTCAGGTGATGTGGTTTCTGCAAAATAGCAAATTTCCTTCACTACTATTGAATGACTCCTATAAAGAAGCCATTGATTTTCCTGTCATCAGCCTCTCTATCCTTGTCTGCATTTTTTGCACTTTCTAATCAATAGGCAATGCAAATGCCAAAACATTAAACTACTTACAAATGATATCTCTCTTCTCACTTCTCCTCTAGTTTCTATTGATTTCCAACATCCAAACTTTTTTAGGGCTCCTTCTCTTTTCTCTGCCTTCTGGAATTTCTTTTGAACTTCCTGATGGAAAGAAACAGCACAGTTGATACAGAATCACTGAGAAATTAGGGATTTCCTTCACCTCCTAGCTGTCAATCCTTGGTGTGGTGATGTTTAAGTGCATGTTTGTGCTTGATGATCATTAGCCCTCTCTGCTTTATGCTCAGGTTAATTTGTCTGTTTCAGTAGTTTAGCAAGAATTGATCTACTGCCAAAAATGATGGTGCTGGGTGTGGGGATGGAAAGGCTGAACTTTTACAAAATCAGAGGCTTTGCAAGCAAGGCTCTCTGTATGTATGGTTTTCCTTTTCTCCAGCATCATTATGAGCACCAAGAGCTCTGCCTGCTCTCTCAGGCACTGTGATCCCCTGCTGAAGGCCTGCTACTGAGCAAAGCTATGTTATCCTCTGATGTCCAAAATGTTTTGTGAACTTCTAGATACATCAAAAATATAATTATAGGACTTCCCACCTTAATAACAACATCCATACCTATGCCTGCTCTCAGCAAAGCAACTTAAATTTTTGAAATTGAAAGTTTTAAAATATGAGATTAGACCTCAGAAAGCACTTAGGAAATAAATTGAGAAATTAATAAATTCAAGGAAGATGAAAACTCCTAGTGTGATCTGCAAACAGAAAAGGCTCAAAAAGATCAGATAGGCAACTCATTGGAAATTACTTCTCCTCTGTGTATATGAAATTCAGCTCATGTAGTTGTGAAACACGATGCTGCAATCATATTCATTTCTGTTTCTGCACTGTGGTTTGTAGTAATGGCAGAAAGCAGTTTCAGATGGGATTTCTTATGCTGTGTCTGAGACAGTGCAGAGTAGCAGAAGTGTTTCCTGTACAAGTGGAGACATCTTGTGCATCTCTGCTCTCTGGTTGCTTTGCAGCATTATGAAAAGAGATGCACAGACAAAATTCTGGCTATGAACAGCATGGGCCACAGGAGGAGATAGTGAACCAAGGTGTTTAACTAACTTGGCTACTTTTAGAGAAGAGACAAGTCAGGAGTTAATTATACCTGAGATATTATTTGCTGGGATTCTTGCTGAACAGCAGTTGCTGTTGGCAGTGCTGGATTACTTCACATAATATCCTGTGAACTGTAATAGAGCTTGCAGTAAGTAGTAAGCTCTAAGACAGAGTTCATGTGACTTGGGAAAAACAAAACACTGCTGCTTCCAACAGAAATGTTTAGCTGTGACTTTGTAGTAACTTGAAGTTGATGTAACATCTCAGTAATGAGGAAAATATATTAACTAATTAAATGCATATCCTTTATTTTCCAGATCAAGAATCACCACCTGCTTTGTTTTGCCATGCCTTGCTGGCTTCTAGGAACAGACTAATTCTACCTTATTTTTAATGTGAACAACACACATTTTTGAAGCACTGTAACAATGTTATTTGAACCACTATGTTAGTCTTGTCTTGCAAGCAGTGTTCTTTCAAGTAACCTTGCAATTTGAAAGTGTTTTACCTTTTCTATTGGAACTGCTGGAAGGCCTAAGCCTGGCAAATTTAATAGGAATCAGGGAAAACCTTGAGTAGGGATAATTTATTTTGTCTCTCCTGCCTCTTTCTTTGAATCCCTTGAGTAAACCACTGCTTGGTCAAACCATATCAGAATGTTGGTATTTGGTATTCAGGTTTTTTCCCCCCTTTGATACTATTTGGGAAAGTGCTACCAGGTTGGCTCAGAGGATGTGAACATCTGTGACAGATGAACTTAATGCTGAGATATGCATTTTGGGAAAAGCTGTCTCTACCCACATTAGCATTTTGTAGAAGTGTGGGCAGAGGGAAGGAAATAAATGTGAATCTTGAAAGCAAAATTGATTGGAGAGGTTGCATTTGTAAGTAAAGTGGGTTATAAAACTGGAGCTGGCAGAGTCTTTTAAAAAGCTTGTGCTAACTTCTGATTTAATGTTCTGTGTCTTGGAGGATCAGAGCTGGAGAGCTGAATGCATTGCCTGTAACAGAGCTGCAGGTGTTTAAAAATAGCTCGAGACCAGTCTCAAAGATGCCAATACGTAATCAGCAGAAATCCATGTTTTTTAAAACCTTCTGAGTAAGGCTGAATAAAACTATAAAAAGGGTACTGTGCCCCACACAAGCCCTGAAATTGGAGATGGGTGAAATACTACATGACCTGGCTATTGATTATCTTAGGTAGCCACAGTACTACAGATATCCAAGGAGCACAGAGAAATTGGTCTGCCAATGGGGATGGACAATTTCCTCTGCAAGCTGCAGATTATCCCAGAGTAATTTTAGAGTGCCATGTGTGCTAAACAAAAGCAGGGCTTTGTACTTCATCGAAGTTTGTCACTGTTCTACTCTTGACATCCTAAATGTTGACACTGTCAGTGTTGAAGTCAGGTTCAGATCTAAGTAGGAAAAAAATTTCCATTTGCACAGAGGATCAAACCCAGCCCTTGAGCAGAGCTCTAGCAGTGAGCCTTGGTTTGTTTTGGCAGGGTGATACCAAAGGGCAGAGATGGCAGCACCTGGCTACAGTCAGTTCAGCCTGGCTCTTCTGCTAGGGAAATTTCTTTCTCTCTGCAGAATACCATTTTGCAGGCAGGAAGGACTAAAGGAATGTGTTGTTCTCCACTGCTATCTTCTCTCTTCACATACTGTTTGCTGTACCCATCTGCTTGGAGCTTTAATATCACACTCATTAAAGAAGTCCTAGATCGATTGCGTGAAGAGAAGTGGGGTGGGCTGCCCTGGGCTCCTGGAGCCATGATAATGTGCAGGCCAACAATGGACCTAGTGTTCTTTCAGCTGATGATTAAATACTTGGCTCATAAATACCAATATTATGTAATTCCAAAATCCAGTCAGCAAATTGTGACCATATGCGAGACTCTGGGAAGATTTGAGTCTTCCAAATTCAGTCTGAGGAACAAAATAGACTTCTCAACAAGAATTGGTGAGACCAGCAATACTGACTTAATGCTCTGTCTCTCCTCATGCCCATCTCCTCCTAGCTTGATCCAAAGGCATCTGTGGTCATGTGAGTAGGGCCAGTATTGCTGTGTTTGCTTGAGCCCTGGCAGTCATCTGTGCTGTCTCTTTGGAGATCATCTCGTCCTTGGTGCTGTGGGCAATGCGTGCAGGTGGGGACCAGCAGGATGCCTCCTTCCCAAGAGGCCTCATTTTAACAAGGGCTCAGTACATCCTCTCATCCACATCTTGAGGGGTTGTGGAGGCTTTTCAGCATGTCTGGCACAGTCCTGACAGTGTCCCTGCCTCATCAGGGTGTAAGACCACGCCAAGACTCCAGCATGTAGAGGGAACCTGGACTTTCTCTCCAAATTCTTTGCTCTAAGTAGGGTCTGGCAAATATTTTCATGTCCCTTCCATGTTAGCTTCTGTGTGGGGTGTGAAGGATCTTGTGATTTATTTTTCTCTCTGGAAGGAGGAAGAGCTTTCTGATGAACAGTAGCCCAGTTTCCCACCTCCTCGGGAGAGCCAGTTGAGGCTTTGGTCATCTGAGGTATGACTTACAGTGATCCTGCAATATTTTGCTCTTAAACCTAAGAAGACCTTTCCCTTCTGTTTTGTTTTTAGTATATTGAGGAACATCTTCAGAAACATCATGGTGATGAATTTGCAGTTCCCTGGCTGTTTTGTGGGCTCTGTGGGCAGCACAAGCATTATTGCAGAGGACGCTGGACTGGTGGGGCTGTGCTGAGTTCAGGTGACAGAACTGAGTCAGTCCCTTGGAACAGTAATAGATGAGTTCAGGAGTGCCTCCCTTAGGCTCCTCTGCTCAACAGATGCAAGGAAATCTTTGTTACAATCCTAACCATGGACATCAGCAGCCTTTGGAGTTTCCTGCCCATCTCCCTTGGCAATCTCTGCACTGATGAGGTGATCATCTACCGAGGGTGGCCAGCACTTCTTGATGCTGAACTGAAATTATGATTTTCCTTGACTCTGGAAATTATTATCTTTTCCACTGAAGTGCTGCAGCAGGGAAAAGTACTGACTGTTTTGTGGTAGGCGGGAAATCCCATTTGTCACTGTAATTGGAATAAGCAGATCAGCAGCTCCAGTCAACTGTCTGGTATCTTCAGGCAATTTTAAAGTTTCAGTCTGATTTTTTTCTTGCCCATAAGATGGGCAAAGCCAGAGAGAAAAGAATGGACTTTGTGAGGGAGCACATACAGAACAGCTCTGAAAGGCTGTTCTGAACTAACCTGGAATGAAGCTTTCTTCTGTGGACGCAGGGAGGTCATTAGGTGGCTAAAAGTATCTTTGAAACAGAGGTACATCTCTTACCTAGCAAAAGGCATCTCACACACGTTAAGGAAAGCCTTGCACCTGTTGGATGTTTCTCTATGAAAATACTGACTTTCAGTATGAGCAGGCTTTCTTAATGCAACAGAGGACTACAACAAATTTTTCCCCCTCATCTCCCCTAGTTTTAGATACAGACTTTTGGATGATAGACATGAGAAGACTGAGAGAGAGACTTTATGAAAATGTTTTTCTTCTTTGTTTTTCTGCTTTTTTTACAAGAAATGTTCTTTTACAAGTGTTTTCTGAATCAACAAAGGAAAGAGAGAGCAAAGGAGAAATACCAAAATGGAGAGAGTTGTTAGGATAAAACATCTTCTCACTGAAACAATTCAAAGAGAACAGCAAAATTTTCCCCAGTTTAAAAAAAAATACAAGAACATCAATTGATAATCAATGCTCCTCTGTGTTGGAGGAACAGGCTACAAATGCAAGCTAAGGAGGGATGGGCAGAGCAGGTCACAGTGCCATCACCTCAGATGCCCCTTGCCTTCCTCCAGTGATTAACAGGAGGTGGCTCCCCGCAGTGATTACTGTATTTAAGCAGCTTGGTCCAGCTTGGAGCAATTCCCTGACTGCCTGGGCATTGAGAGCACAAGCTCTGGGATTTGCTGGCTTTGGGATATCAGCTGAAACCAGCATGATCCAAGACAACTGGAAGCCAATGCTGTTGAGTGTCTTCTCTTGCTTGGTTCTGAGAGGCTGCATGTGCTGGTGGTTTGAGAGCAGTTGGCAGTTCTCTCAGAAGAAGGACCAGGCTGTCATGTTTGCTTTGCTGCCTGTTAGAGTAGAAGGTCCTCCTGCAGCAGCCTATGTACACAGTGACACTTTGGAGATTCCAAAGATTCAGCCAGTACAGACAGTGGCTCTAAGTCAACAAGTTTGTTTGACATCAGGGCTAATTAACAATTATACAAATCTTGGAGCAAGCTCTTTCAGACCTGGTTTGTTCCCCCACCCCCAGAAGGCTAAGCATAAGATTCCATCTGCCTAACTTGCAAATGCAATTCCTTTAATTATGAATCCAAACTGGTAAAGTGTATGCTCAAAAAGATAGCTAAATCTATGCATGTGAGGTGATAATGCATACACAAATTAGCTGTAAGCCTGTGCCATCTCAGAACCTGCCCCCTCTGAGGATAACTTATGAAAGAAGCCTTGTAAAGACTTGCAAGCTTACAGGAGCTAAGACAGCCTGTACAGCTGATTAATTTGTTGTTTGTTGCTGTTGTTCAGACAGTTTTGGTTTTACACAAAGAGATAATTTTCTTTGCCCAGAGCTAACTCCTGCCACAAGGGTTAGATGTGCTGTGAAAGTGCCTGCTGCTCCATTTGAGAAATTTCCTGCCCCAAGGCAGCAGCGAAGTGTGATAGAGCAGGGGGAGCAGAGGGAAGGAGGACAGAGGAATATGGATTGTGATAATCAGTGGTGAAGACAGCGTATGGAAGGCTGGGGAATGGGCCGTAGAGCTCAGCCAGGTGCATCAGCAGCCCCTGCTTTGCCTTGCCAGAGTTCTGCCCTGACCTCATTTATTAGCATTGTAATGGCAGGCCGTGGTACTTGTTTTCCTTGCACCCCAAGTTTTCAGTGCACACTGTCATTGTCCCAAGACTTGGTTCCTAAAGCTCAGCCTGGTGGTGGCTTTCCTGCCTGCCTGGATCTGGTGCTGCCAAACTGGCACTGTTCTCCCTGATGATTGTGCCAGGCCTTGCTTTGTACTCGTGGTTTCTTCCGTTTCCTTTTACCCAGATGAGCAACAAAAGGTCGAACAGTTTCCGTCAAGCCATCCTGCAGGGGAACAGGAGGCTGTGCAGCAAGGCCCTGCTGGAGGAGACGGGGCTGAGCCTCTCGCAGAGGCTGATCCGGCACGTGGCCTACGAGACCCTGCCGCGGGAGATCGACCGCAAGTGGTACTATGACAGCTACACCTGCTGCCCCCCGCCCTGGTTCATGATCACCATCACCATTGTGGAGGCAAGTGCCCTCCCTGGGAACCTCCCCACACTGCCAAAGGCTCTGCTGGGACACGATCAAGGGTTAGAGAGGGACTCGTTCAGACCTGGACAAGGACAGACGTGAAGCTGGTGGCCATTTTGGTTGTGGGTTGGAGAGTGTTTAAGTGGAGACTGTGATCCTGTCATTGGAACAATTTGTATATGAGACTACACAGTTTGGGAAACCAGAGAAAAACTGTTTGAGGTGTGAAAACAGGACAAATCTAGAGAAATGGATAAGTCAATGGATTTAGAAATTTCTGTACAGCTACATCTGTTCTGTGAGTGGATAGAAAAAGGAGAGGAGAGAACCTCTGGGTTAAATATTTTGACCTGCTTATGTGTTGCCCAAATGAGATCTTTGCACATTTTCTGAGTAATGTGCTCAAATAAGTACAGAGTAGGATATGACACTAATAGTACGGTGCTGACTGGGAGCAGGTTCCTCTAACTCAGGGGCTGGTGTGTTACAGGAGACCACAGATACAGTTATATCAATGTGTTGCAGGTTCCTCAAAACAGGGAATTTTCATGCTGTGTGAAGCTGTCAAATGGGAGAAAAGTTTTTTTATATATTACTTTTTTCTCCATTAATTTAGCTAAAAGGTACTTTTTGGTGAGAAAAGGCATTTGCTAACCAATGACTCTCTCTGCTCTTCTAGGTTGCCTTTTTTCTTTACAATGGAGTGGTCTTAGACAGATTTGTGCTGCAAGTCAGCCACCCCTTGTACCTGAAGAATGCATTACTGTACCATCCCCAGCTTCGGGCCCAGGCTTGGAGGTACCTAACCTACATATTCATGCATGCAGGGTGAGTATTTACAAACAGTTCAGGGTCTCCAGAGAGATAGAGGAAGTGACAGAATCAGCTCAGAATTAAATTTTTAAAACTTAAAAATCTGAAGATGTTGTGGACTGTTGGGCAGTGAGGTGCAAACCGTCACAGCTCTCTGAAGGGACAAGGCAACAAAAATAACATAACAGATGCTGCTCTTCTCCCCAGCAGTGTTGGGACCACACTTTCTTTTTACTGTGCACTTCCTAAAACCAGGTCAAAGCCCAGTGTTCCACTAAAGGAGCTGTGCAGGATGCTGGACTGGTATTTAAAAACCACAGGGTGTTGGAAAAGTCAGTTAAATTCCCTGTGCCTGGGATATGTCATCACTCAGTAATGTTGGTCCCTTCTGTAGGGACTGAGATAATGCCTAGAAGGCTGTGTCAAGCCTGAATTCCCATTTTGTGCACACTGGGCAAACACCAGTATTCCTGAAGAGTTGACAATCTCCAGTGACCAGATGGACAGAGAATAGTGTCCATGCAAAATGAAGGTGTGCAGTAAAATGAGTCCTCCTTCATCCCATGGGAGGTATGTAGCAGACTTGGGAAGAATATACAAGGTGTGGGGATTATAACTCTGTACTTCTCAGCTGTGCTAGTCCTCACAAAATTTAAATAGACTTAATTGTGTGATGTTTGTGATGCCATGGTGATGAGTAAGTGTCACTGGAAAGTTCATCCCTGTACAAAACATTCTACCCCCTCTAAGCAGTTTCTCAGATCATTATCTTCACACATTCCTGGCAGATAATTGCAATTTTCTTTAATTCTGTCATTGAAAAATGACAGCAACAAGCCTTTCAGCAGTACTGTAGAGTTTGAAACTGCATAAGGACCCTTTGTTCATAAATAGAAAGTCTATATTTCCATCAGTCAATGTTCTTCTATGAAAGGCCAGAAAGATCAAGTTGATCTTTGCCTTTTTTCCATGTCTCTGATGGAAGACATGCTGAAGTCTCTTCCCTGCCATGGAATAACTTCCTTGGTGTGTAATTACCCTGGAGTACAAGATGTGTCCCAGATCCCTGGATAAAACCAGACTCCATCTAAGGGAAGAGTAGGGAAAAGTTTTTAGAAGAAACTTCTGAATGTGGCAACATCTGTCCTCTGCATGCTGAATCCCTCCAAAGAGCCCATATTACATAGATTTCATCCTGCAAGTGGGGACTACTGGGCTTAGACATGAGGCTTATTACATAAAATGAGAAATAGAAATTTCATCACTGAAAGTATGGGGAAAACTGGGCTTGTAAAAGAAAGAAACACTTTGTTTTAACTAATATTAGTTAATTTGTATTTGGGCTTTCTTTTGATGATGGTGATGTTTTACCATATCTTTTCTATAACTACAGATTGCTTTAGGATGCAGTGGAGGAGAAACACCTGCACAAGGACAATTCTCCAGCATTAAATGCTTTTCTGTGGCATGCTTTCCTAACCTGCACCAGGTCACCCTTGTAGCAGGCAGTTCCCTAGCATTCTTCATACTCACTGGCCAAAAAATCCCTCAGGTTTATTTCACCTCTGGCTGGCTCAGAGGGGAACAATGGAAGGTGGTGAGCAAGGGACTCCTCATGATGAATTCCAAGTCCTTTAGCTACGCAGCCTTTAAAACAGTGGAGAGTCCCACTGGAACAATAAACCTTGTGATTTATGTGCAGTATCTGGAGTTAAGCTAAATGCTCCTTTATTTCTAACTTCACAGTGTTAAGCTCCTTTCTTGTAAGGAAAACAGATAAATCTTGGAAAGGTAATATTGTTTTTTAGTGGACGCCCATCATTCTCCTCTCATTTTCAAATGAGAGGATAACACAATGCCATGGGTCTATTGTTATCCTGCTTCCAGCTGAGACTTTTAAATGGTAATGTGGACTGCTCCTTAATTTAGTGCACTTGGTCTTTTTTTTTGAAGAGCAAGTGGCAGCCGAAAGGTGTTTGAGAAGGCAGCAGTTGCTAAGCTTGGCTGGCTGTGCTCTAGAAAGATTTCAAAAATGTACAGGCTGTGTGTTGGTTCTGATGGAGGGAGCTTTGTCAAGGGCTGAAAAGGCAAAGTTGTAAATTCTGCCCTTCTGTTTTCATGGAAAGCAGACGTTGGTATCTGAAGCCCACACATTTGTATCACTGCCATAACTAATGACTTGCATTGATGCTTAGTCCCATTTGTTTGGTCCCAGGGAAGGAGAAAGTCCTTAATAAATCAATGAAATGGTCATTTCAAGAATGACACATTCAGCACTGGCAAAGGGTAATTATATTTTATGGATACTTATTGACCCTGGTGCCTTTAAAGCTCTTAGCATGATGGGGAAGAGAAGTGAATGGGATTGCTCCTGGGAAGTCTTTTAAGAACAGCTGTGAATCAGAGCAGTCACTTCAGACTCCAGGATAAACTTTGCTGAGCTCTTACAAAAGCTTCCTTTGAAAAATAAGACCCAATGCTTTGTGTGGAAATGTCAGGTGCCACCTCATGATGTTGACTGTGTGCAGCCAAAGCTTCTTCCCTCCCCTCTGTGAAAGGACACTTGGGTGTTTGGACTCATCTCAGTGATCTCAGTTTGACCTTTTCTGCTTGTTCCTAATTTAACTCCCTGCGTTCTGTGAGCATGCGGGATCAGAGCGAGTGCTGACCATGCCCAGTGGCTCCATTAGCTTGAGGAAGGTAATGAAAGAATCCAGTTAGATGCAGCAGTTTCCCATGATGAAAAATTGCACTGCTGAGTGTATTGTACAGGAAAGAAATTAATCTTCAGAGAGAAATTAAATGGAAACAAAGTTATTAAGATATCAGGAGAGGATTGTTTTCTGCAGTATCATTTCTAGCACTTTTTTGCAGTCCAACTTTAAATTCTCATTTATGAGACTATTCTGTCATTACTGAATCTCACCATCAGTGTTTTTCTCTGCTGTATATGGGAAATTGCTATGGTAACATGAAAAAGATCAAAACAGTGGAACTGCATATAACTTAAACCAAAGTTTGCTAGTGCCTTCCTGTGAACAACCCTTTTCTTGTATAAAATAGATGTACATTTTCAAGGCATTAGGTACTTTGCTCTCTTTTCCCCAAAAGATGCTGTCCTTCTGTGTTAAGGGTACCACTGTGTAATTTAGATCCATCAGTTTTGTAAGCAGGTTCTCTTCATACAAAAAGCAGGATACCCTTGAACCCAGTGAGATGTCACCATTCAGTGAGGTCACAGTCCTGTGAGCCCAGGGTAAATCTCAGTCACCAGCAGGGTGTTGATCCTGTTCAGGGCCTGGTGCTGGTATTACCTCACTGGAAGACCCTACAGATGAATATCTGTATAGAGATTTGAAAGTGGCAGGACAGGTTTGTTAAGTAGTATTGCTAAAAGCAACAGAGAACTTGTGTTGAAGCTATTGATTCAGCTCAGGAGAAATCTGCTGCACTGGAGTCTCTACCCAATATATACATCTGAGCTGTCACACTGCCTGCAGGCTGCAAGTGGTCCTGCACAGTGTGATAGTGGGGCTTTCTGCAATAGTTCCTTCAGCTCAGCTTTTTCCTGTGTGTCCAACAGGAGTTTTGCTCTTGACTGTAATGGGAACGAGGGTGGATGAAGAGAGAGCATCAGTGAGTACACCTGGGTACCTGAGCAGAGATCAAAATCCCTCTGCTTCCCATTCTGACCACTGAAGTAGACACAGCAGAAAAGGGTGAGGGTCAGACAGCCCATACTGTAAAGCAGCATTACAGCACCAGGAAATGGCAGTTCTCCTGGAACTTCTACACTCACCTCATTCTTAACAACCATTCCCCGTCATGGCAGTGTGATGTGTGCAGGGAAAAGTGGAATCCCTAGGAGGGGAGAAGAGAGGAGCAGGTCAAATTTCTGGCTTCTGTTCCAGGCTCTGCTGCCATTTTGCTGCCTTTTTTTTTGTTTGTTTGTTTTGACAAGTCATTTAACTTTTTCAAGCAAAGACAAAGGAAAAAATGTCTGACCAAACAGAACCAAAGTTTAAGAACACAGTTGTTCTGTCTAAGAACCAAACATTGTACAAAGTCATTAGCTGAAAGGACCTGCATGGATACAAAAAAGATAAAATCAGCAAGGAGGGAAGAAACATAGCAGCTCTGGGTCTGATTTTTTCTGGAATCACTGTTTTTCCCAGTGTTAGTCTACTTATGTGAATCGAGTACTCTTTGATTTTCTTTCCAAGATATCTGTGTCTCAGTAGTAGAGAAAGGAGATGCAGAGTTGGAAAAGACGACAGCTATTGTTTTTCTTTGCTGCAGGATAGAACATCTTGGGCTCAATGTTGTCCTTCAACTCTTGGTTGGGGTTCCTCTGGAAATGGTGCACGGAGCTGCGAGGATCAGTTTTGTGTACTTTGCAGGAGTTGTGGCAGGTAGGTGACACCTCTGCATGCCCAGGTGGAGAAGCAGTGAAAATGGTCTGTGCTGGCTTTTGAGTTGGAGAGATGTTTTGTGATATTTGGGATTAGGAGAGGAACATTCAGTGATCTTCTGTGTATTGAAATCCTTTGTGGGGCTGGACATAGAAAATATGGTACAACTTGACATCTATTTCTATGTAGCCATAGACTCTCTGTTTAGGAGACCTACTAAAAATGCACCAACTACCTGTTATTTTAAAATAGCCTTGCTTTAGATGATCTTCCTGAATGTGGAGTCGTGCTGATCCTGTGGCAGTTCTTCCTCCATTTGTCTTGTGTATCACCTTTCTACAGCCTGAGTAAACGAGAAGTATTTAGTTGTAGATTGTCAGCAGTGCACAGAAATCTGAAAAATTCATTCCATCATTAAGCCATGGGGCCTGATTGATTTTTAGTTTGTGCTGAATTGCTTTTATTTATGTTTGGAATTTCCAGCAGTTTGGAGGTGATGGAAGCTGACAATAGATCAACATCTAGTTAAAACAGAAGGAGGGTGTGAAAACAACCAAGAGCTTTACAGTGGAACTCAGACAACGATTGACTGCCTTTGTTCAAGATTTATAGTGTTTGTTTGTTTTTTCCAGCCACATAATTACTTTTTTTCCATAATAAGCAGAGAAACCCTTTGTAGAATGGGCTGCATTGGGTACTAATAAATCCTGCGTTCCAGGAGACAGTCTGTGGAAAGAATAATTGGACTAGGGCACAGGATGAGGCATGGTACAAACACCAACAGTATTTACTGCAGAGAAAGGAGTTAGCAGAGCAACTCCACTGTCCCCTGACTGTTATTTTAGCAAACACTAACAAAAGTGGTGCCCAATTTGCAACTTCCCAGACCTAGCTTTTCTACACAGATACACCTACCAAATCCCAGGGCTTCACTGATATCTTAGCCAGTTATGAAATATCCTTTATTCTTTGTCATGTGCCAGAAGAGAGGGAAATGGCTATATTCATGCTGAGGCAATATAAAGATAACTCAGCTACAAAATAATCAGGACTAGACAGTAAAATGTAGTTAGGCAACAACTTTTATGGTTCTTTCTCAATTTTTTGGCTTTACTAAGAAGACACATTAAGAATGGAAATTGAGGCACTCAGTGTCTGAAGACTTAACTGCAAGATCTTATTACTCCTTCCTTTCTTTCTCATTAACTTTTTCCTTAATGGCAGTGTTTAAGAGCTGAGAAGTCTCAGGGCCATACAAGGAAGGACGGAGCTATCAGCAGAGTTGGCTGGTTGAAGCTCAGCACTTTCTTGACCTGGAATCAGTTGGGCAATTAGCAAAGAAGTTCATTAGATTCTGTGCTACCAAGGACTCTCTCAAGATTTGCCAGTATGTCTTTTTCCCATTCCAAATCATCACAAAGATCTTCATTATCCCTTCTTTGTGACAGCAAATCTGCCTTTCCCTCTATTGCTTAAATTATTCTTAAAGTCAGCAATGAAAGGAGCTTTGAGCAGATCCAAGTCTCCAACTGCGATAAGAAGAAGCAATGTCTCTGTTTGACTGTATTGTTATTAGTGATGCCTTTATGTACTTGACCTGTCATTTTGCTGTCAAGTGCCTACTGCCTCCATCCAGGTTATTTCTGACTAGTTTTACTCTGAAGTTTTACAGATAATAAGCTGTGCTTTGATCAGAGGCCTGTGCTAAGTTAAAGTCCCTATATCCTTCTCCCTGTGCTAAGATTTTTCTTGGCAACATAAGAGCTACTTCTGTTTTATCTTCAGGTGAGAAACAAACACAGATGTTTGTCTGTCTCCTGCTTCCTTGTTCTTTCAATCAGGGAATAAATGCCTTTTTGCAGGACAAGCTTGAAGACACATTGCTGCCTTGCTTGGCTGCTTTTAAAGTGGTTGCAGAGGAATCAATCAGTCACTGCCTTGACAGGACTGAGTTGGCTTCAGGAGTCAATCAATTTCCCCCTCCTTCTCTTTCTGTATTCCTGACCTACAGCAATTAACACAAACAGGCCATAGCAGGGATGTAGGGTAGGAGTGAGTGTGTTTATTTGGTGGGCAATTGTTACAAAGCCTTGTTGTTTCCCCCAGGGTCCCTGGCAGTGTCAGTGGCTGACATGAGGGCGCCGGTGGTGGGCTCCTCTGGAGGTGTGTATGCTCTTGTCTCTGCTCACCTGGCCAATATTGTGATGGTGAGTACCAGAGTGACTGTCTGACCTCAGAGTGAGCCACGGCTGGTGGCCCAAAGGGGCTGGAAGTAAGACCTGACCCAGCTGTTGGTCATTCAGAGCTTGCCCCGGCTAAGAGTCTAGTCTCAGTGGTGTGGTTCTGGAATGGAAATATTACCTTGCACTTGGTGGCTTGGTACCCTGATGGCTGACAGTTTTCCAGGACAACCTAAAGATGTTGGTAATCCAAGATTTGTCAGTGTTCTCCAGGCTATCAACTCTCCATGCAATGGCTGACAAATGTTTGAAAAGCAGACTGGCTCTGCAGAAGTGGCAGACCTGTTTCTGTCTGGATGTCCTATGTAATTTTAGTGAGTATCTAAATAAATTTAGCATTCAATTGATTCATGTGCAGAATATTTCTTATCTCCATTTGTAAAACCCAGACTGAAGCTGAACCCTGGGTGATCTAATGATGCATCTCTTTGCTGTTTCACCTCATGAAAGACTTTACACAGGTGAGCAAATACCAGCATTGTCATTCTCCTAAGGCTGGAAACAGGAGTTCATCCCCAGCCCTCAGCTAGATGGTGGCAAAGCCCAACACAGCTGCCTGGGGGACTCCTCAGCTGACACCAGGCAAAAGGCTTTGCTGATAGAAGATTCATGTGTGGTGGCATGTCTGTCCTGTACCAGCAATATCAGAGCAGAATAACCATGAAAATGAGGATAATGCTCCTCCCCTGGGTCTGAGTGGGAAGATAATTTGAGGAGGCTGCAGTAGAGACAGAAGATCTGTTATATGGGTGCTGGAAGATGTGTGTGTGAGGTGGTGTTGGGGCCAAGCCTAAAAGAAAACCTTGTACTTGATGCTTGTCTGCAATAAAGTCAGCAGGCTCCAGCTGTGACCCACAGTGGTGCTGCTCCAGACAGTTCTGTAAGCTGGGAAGTGAGAGATATCCTGAGCAGAGCTGGTCTGCTTCCCCATCTTCAAGCTTCTCAGAGCATGAATGAGCTGAGGCTGCTGTCCAAATGAGACAGTTGAGTGGCTGGCAGGGAGGTAGGAAGTGGAGGAGCGAGGCTACCCCTATACCTCAGGGTTTCTGCTGGGGAATTGCATCCCTACTTTCAGTTCTTTTCAGTGTGATTTGTGTTCCCTGCCAATGTGCCAAGGGAAGCAGGAGGGAGCTTCCTCTGTCTTTCAGGGTGGTAATGAAGACACGGGGTTTTTTAACACCACAGTTCACAGGGTTAGAGGGGCGCATTGGAGGAAATTTTAGTCTGCTTTAGAGGAACAGGCTCTTCCAGAGGCATATGGAGAGTCTTCAGCAGTTACCTTCCCTGACTTCTTAGAACATCACAGAGTGATCTGTCATTTCACTATTCATTGGCCAAATCTATTTAGAGATTGCTACCTTAGCATCTTTGTTTCTTCATTATCCACTGCCTCTCTTCTCATCTGAAATTATTTTTTGCTGCCTTTCCAGTTCTGGTGGAGGGATGTTTTTGCTTTCCTTTCCCCCCCCTTGTCTCTCTGTGCTCACTTGTTATCTAGATGCGATGCTGCTGCACGCTGAAAGGCGTGTTGGCTATTTGCTGACAAAGCTCAGTCTGGCACAGCTGGGGACAGCAGGGACTGTGGCAGGGAGGGTCTCTGGAATCTTCTGTTCCCTTGTGCTTCCTGGTAACCAAAGGAAATGGAAACATTTTTGCTTGGAAAGATAAATATTATTGGAATTAAAGACATAAAATAACCAACAGGGGGAAGCAATAAAGTGTGTCACCCCAAGGAAAAGAGCGAGGGAAGGGATTCAAAGCAGCTACATGGAAATTAAAAATGAAGGAGGCAGCACAGTATTAATCAACATGAGCTCAGAGCTTTCTGACTGGGTTAGGTCTCTCTGTAGAGAAAGAAAATCAGTTACTTATTTTGTGGAGGTTGAGGTTTTTTTGCCATCCCAAGTGCCATTAGAGATAGTCTGAAGAGTTTATAGGCATTCTTTTTATTTCTTCAGTGTGACAAATAGGGAGCTTTTTACAAGAAACCCATTATCTTGGTATCTCAGTCTGCCTTCAATAGGCAAATTTTTATTTAGTCACATCATAATAATAATAAAATAGTAATAATAATGTTGTCATACATCTGAATTTCTCAAAACATGATCTCTTTTCCTGCTTTGAAATTATGTGCAATTGAAAAAGGAGGACTTTTAGTATTTCTCCATGATTTCTGATTATCATTCAGAGATTTTTATTCCACCATATTGATTAAAAACCAAGGCTGAAGACAAAGGAGACTAAGTCCAGGCTTTCTTATGGCACTGTTTCCTTGGTATGCTTTTATTGAAGTCTTTATTGTTTCTCTATGCTGTGCCAAAGATCTGAGCTGCAGAATTTCAGGGAGCCTGAGGCACAGAAAATAGCATTGAATAAGCACAGTAGGGCTTGAATGCACTGAGAAGTTGCCTGACAAGTGACAGATCTAAATGTAATATCCCTTCAGGTTTGTGTGCAGCATTACTTTGTTTTCCTTGTCTCTTTTCCAGAACTGGTCAGGAATGAAGTGCCAATTCAAACTGCTGCGCATGGCTGTTGCCTTGATCTGTAGTAAGTACCACACAAAGCTTGGCACACGTGCAGTCAGTCCTATTTTGTTTGTCCTTGTCATAATACTTCATGCTGATTCAGAGGGTTTTGACTTTGCAGCAATTTTGGTAGGAACTTGCAGCTGGACCTTCTGGCAGCCAAACCACATTGCTCTCCACTGCAGATTTTGGCTTTCAACACAAGCATTTGTAAACAAGGATTTGTCGTTAGCCAGCATCTGTAGCTTGTGGTGTTTGTGAAGGAGCTTGAACATCTCTTTGCAGTCTCAAACATGCAGTGCTTTCCTAATGATAATACTTGGGTTTCCTAGAGCACTTCCTGTCTGGGATGGCAGCAGCATTATACCCACACTGATGAATTCTCTTCCAGCCCAATCCCCAGAGGGGCACAATAAGGGAAACTAATCTGTGTGTTCATTCATCACATACAACTGTCTTCAAATTCTAACTCATTTTTGTTATGGTTTTGGTATAAATTTCAGAAGGTGAATATTCCCCAACCTATCTACACTCTCACAAACCCAGATCACTTTCCAGCCTCTGGTGGGGCCTCATGTCTGTGTGCTACAGCCCTGACATAGCCACAGCTTCCCTGTGCTCACCATGCAAGGCAATTTCTCCCTCTCTGTCTCCTCAGGGATGCAGTGCTGCCCCCAGCATGGACTTAAGAAGGGATAAACCTAGACAATTAACTGATTTTATTCTTTGTTCCAGTGAGCTTTGAATTTGGAAGAGCCGTGTGGCTGCGATTCCACCCCTCCGCTTACCCCCCATGCCCCCACCCCAGCTTCATGGCTCACCTGGGAGGGGTGATGGTTGGAATCACCCTTGGTGTTATCATCCTGAGGAACTATGAGCAGAGACTCCAAGATCAGACTTTATGGTGGATCTTCCTTTCTATTTACGTCATTTTTGTCTTATTTGCCATCTTCTGGAATATTTTTGCCTACAGTCTGTTGGACCTAAAGCTACCTCCCCCTCCTTGAAAACATGGGACAGAAAACTGGAGAGCAGAAGTCATCTGTCAGCTGTGTTAAATGAATGAAGATGGAGGATCTATTTTTGTATTTAACTTGGGAGGATGATTCTTCTGAACACACACAAGTGTGCTGATGGAGATGCTTAAAGATCTCATGAAATCGGCTGATCAGTTTGTTCACAAACCCAGCAGGTTGTGTAACTCTGGCTGGCCATGCCCTGCAGTTTCTGCCCTGCACCTGGGCACTGACTGCTTGGGTTCTTATCACACATCAATAGTTTCTATTAGATATTTGTATTTTCCAGGTCAGTGCTGGAATTATGGCCAATTGTTCAGTGAATTTCCTCTATGTTACTGAACACTAAAAGGGAGGAAGAGCAGACATTTACTAATTAGAGACTCAAATGGTACTCACAAGGCAGCTTGAGTCTGGTTTCTTTGGACATGTCTGACTGTTCAGCCATACCAGTGCCACTGTCTAATTACTTGAATGGTTGCTAAGGTATTTTAGTCTCTGCTGAAACTTGTCTTGCACAACTTTCAAAGGAATCAGCAGAACTTGATCACATAAAGTGATGGAGACTGCTTTTCAACCACAGGTCAAATGAAATTGCACTATAAACATTGGGAATCTTAGGTTGTGGATACCCAGCCAGAAGTGAATTTTCCTGTGCATGTTTCACTTGATTTTAATTAATTATTCCCCTTTCCCCAGCCTGCTGTGGCTAAAGGGTGTGGCTGGATTGTTGGGGGTATTTTTTTGTTTGTTTGTTTTTGGGGGTTTTTTTGTTTTGTTTTTTTTTTCGTTTTTTTGGGGTTTTTTTGAGGGATGAAGAAAAGAAGGTCAAATATTCATTTGTGGTTTTACCAGGCGACAATCAGGTGCTGTTTCCTTCTCACTTTTTTTCTGACCACACTGACCTAACACCTGGCTTGCAGTGAGCTCCTAGCAAGGATCTCAACTCTTCCAGCAGGTTCCTGCTAGGAAAATGGGACCATGATCACCTCCAGCAGCCCAGGGTGGGAGCTATCCAGTCTTTACAGCCATACAATCCATTTGGGGCCAAGTCCACTGAAAGCAGTGGAGCTAAATCTGTTTGTATGTAGCACTGGTTTCCCAATGAAGTGGAGAGGGTGTTATTTGCTACAGTGATCATTGTGAAATGAAAAACAGGTTTTAATATGACTTCTAAAATTTTGAGGATGCCTATTCCTGAGGCAATGGATGTTCAGGAGCTCCAGACAACAGTTAGGTGCAGTGATGCCTTTTTCTTTAATGTTGGTCAAGCCCAGTCCAGGCAATCTGTAAGTGGGCTGTGGCACAGTTCACACAATTGCCTGTACAGACCTAGGGACCACATGGGGACATCTGTAGCACAAGCAGAGCTTACAGGTACTATTCTCTGTAAGGTGCTTATTTTGCTTGTCACTTTAGAGAGCTGCCAAATTACAGTCCAGGAGTGTGGGTGCCCTCCTTTTCTCTGCCCTTCACCCACCTATTCAATGGTCTGGACAAAGCAGCCATAATAGTCTCTCCAGACAAGCTCCTCTCTTCCCTTTTTTTCTGTTTCCTGCTGGTGCCCAGGCACAGCCACCAGAGTCTTTCACAGCACATCCCACGGGCACCGTAGCAGTTGTGTTTGCTCTGTAGAAAAATGTCTCTCTGTGTTGTGGGCTTTATTCTCTCAGCTATGCTATCCATGCTGCCAGATGATACCACAAGCTGGTAGGAGCCTATTCCTCTAGAGGGGACATCCACAAGTGCTTATCAGCTACCCCCTTCTTTGCCTCTTATGGAAAAATAACTGGGTTGAGGGGTGAAGTCTTCTCCTACCAGATGCACTCATAAAAGTTCTGTTGCCTCAGAAAGAGGGAGGAGAAAATAAGTGTATCTGCAGCCTGGAACAAGCCTTACCTGCAAAAGAAACAATTTTTGGCACCTTTGTGCACAGAAATGGGATTTCTGAGGGCGATTGCACTTTTATTGTTCTGCATGGCCAGTGCATTGCTCATGGGCCCTCATTGAGGACCAAGAGGAAGGGATAAGGGCCACAGCTCTGATCATTTTGGAGAAGGGATTGGTTCCCTGAGCCATTTTACCTCTGCAGTTTGGGTCCAGATCCCAACAGTCCTAAGAGTTCCCATGGATTGTTGCAGGTGCTGGCCCAGTGAGTAGCCGTGGATCCCCCTGGGAGCAGGCAGGAAGGAGAGTGGGAGTTAGGAGAGTTCTGACATGGTTATCAAGTAAGGAGGACATTCCTTCCCTCACCTATTGCTAAACCTTTCTCATTACAGATGCCTTGAAAACAGAGGTGACCAGGAATGGGAGTTCTCCTGAAATCTTAGGAAAGCTTTTAAAATTTTGGTAGAAAATTTCAATTGCAAAAAGACCTAAATTATTTTGCCTGTAATTTACCAGAGTGCAATGTGCACCAATTGACTTTTATTTTTGCTTTCTCAGCTGAAAGCTACTTACTGTCCATTAGTTTCTTACCAGTAAAGGTTTCCATGCCTTTCCTGCTTCCAGTGTGTGCTCTGAGGTGAAGCAACAAGATAAAAGTTCAAGAGCCACCAGTTTCTTGATCAGCTTGATCATGGCCAAAATGTCTTTACTCAGCTCAGGAGTGGGAGAGAGCTGAACAGAGTAGTGCAGACAGCCACAGCCTTCCTTGGTCCTTTTTCCTTAGATGAGTGTGGTTTACATGAACTGGTTGAAAACAGCTCTGAAGTTGATCTTATAACTTGTTCTTTTAACCTGTTGTTCCTCTTTCTGACTTCATTCTGTGTCCCCATACCCTGCCTGAGCAAGTCTACAAACAGCCCTGGGGATCAGAAGGGCCAGACTTTAAGGCAGTGTGAGATTTATGTTAGGTGAAGGAATGAAACCCTATCACATTCCTGTTTACCAGAGCTGAAATCTCCTCCCATACATGGAGCAGTTTGTGCACAGAGCCTGTTGTCTGCTAAGAATCAATCAGTTCATGGAGCCAGAAGCAGCACAAAGTACTTAAGCTTTTTAATTATTTTTTTAATCATTAAAATTATAGTGTGAAATCTGCTATGTTTTTACAGAGTATCATCAATTCCAGTTTTGCTATTTTTTAACACACCCAGGAGTGCCACAGAGCTGCAGCATCACAGAACTAACAGCAATCAGGCTTTTCTGTTACCTCCAGATGTCCTTGAAGCTGCTGGCTCATGTTGGAGATGTAATATTCTCCATCCTGCTCATTGTAGTTCCAACCTGTCACAGTCAGCAGCGTGTTCCTGAAGGATCATCCACTGAGGGACTGGTTTCAGTTATTTGTTGTGGTTTTATTTCAGCTACTGCTGGAATTTTCCGTCAGTCAGATAAAACACGAATCTGTTAAAGCTTCTGACTGTGCAGTGCTAGAACAGAAGGCAAGGACCGTCACCAAAGTACAGGTTTGAACAGAGCACCTCGGAGCAAGTTATTTTACACTGTGTCCTTGAGCGAGGACACAACACCTGGGGGAGAAAAGAAAAAAAGCAGGCGTTTGTGTGGTGGATTTCCCGTGCGGTGAGTTCACTGCAGCACAGGTCCGTGAGGATGAGGAGCAGTGCGGCAGGCGGAGGGAGCAGCCGGCGGCGCTGGATGCGGGGCTGCCAGGGACCCCTGCCGGCGGCCGGCAGCAGCCCTGGCCCGGGACAAGGAGCTCCCACAGCCGTGGGGAGGAGGAGGAAAGAGGAGAACCAGGCAGATCAAAGTCCTCGGGGACTGCAAATGGCACTTTTTATTCCTAGACAGGTAAAGATTAGTGTTACACACAGCAGTAATAACAGGCATGAGGAGGAAAAGAGTTGTCCTGCAGTGGTGGGAGAGGAGCTTTCCAGAAACAATCTCTGAGTGAAGTGTAGCAGTCATAAAAATGCTGATGAATTTACGTTTGCTGAGTTTTTAGGACAACATCTTGTGTCACTGTTTCCCTGTCAGTTGATGAGGAATCTTAGCACTTACGTGGCATATTGTGGTTTTTCACTACTTGCTCCTTTGGCAGTGGGAAGTATGTTATCAACAGGGAAGGGGGAAGCTAGAGAAATAAAGCTCAGGGATTCTGTATCCCAACATCTTCTGATGGATTATACTGCCCGTGTGTTTTAGAGCAGATTAGGCCCTTTCAGTTTGAACTGGGCTATGGAGGATGGAATCTGACATGTTCAGAGTTGGTACTGACATGACTGCTGACCTCACAAGGAAGCTGCTGTTCTCTGCCAATATTTAGTCTCACAAGATGGTGGGTAGGACTTTCACACATCCTTCAGTGAGTAAAGAGCTCAAAGTCTGTTCACAAAGATTCAAGCTCAGCCCAGCGGCTGTGGAACCCCCATGCGTTGGCTTTGCCCGAAGTGGAACTGGAGAATGGGGACATGGCAGCTCAGCACCAGCCACCTCTGGGGGCAAGCTGGGCCTAGAGAGCCCAGGCCAGCACCTCTGAGTATTGCTGCTCCCCTGCTCCTCTTACAGTGGTGGCCGCTCTACAGTGCTTTGTGTGGAAGAACTCAAAGATTCCTTCTCTTATTACTGATGCCAAGAGCTGGTTATAAAGGAGTGGAGTGTATTTTGCAGTTCCATATAAAAGAATCACACCTAAGAGAGAAACCAAGCCTATTTAAAGGCAAATGTATTTTAATGTCACCATTAATCATTGGCTTTTAATTGGAAAAAGCTTTCTAATATGCCAGTAGGAAAATCTGCAGAAACTTTACGTTTCAGGGTACTTTACAACACAAGCACAAAATATTACCTATGATTTAAGTGGCTAAAGTACCTTATTTTCAGTGAGCTTCATAGACACAGTTGTCACTGACTCTCTCCTGACTCCCACAGTGTCTGTTCAGTTTGCAAATAAAGCCGGATTTATGCAGCTTTTCTTCTCCTTACACTACTAATGCTAACAACACATCCAAGTGTTAAACACAAAGCACTAAACTACATAATTTTCTGCCTTAAATACTGAACAAGTGGTACTTTCCCTGTGAAGGGCTAGTGAAACAAAATTATATTTGCAAGGTAAGATGCTATTGTATGTTTCCAAATATTTTTGTATTGTGTACATTCTGTATATTTTTGTTGTGACATTATTTGAGCGCAGAATCCATTAAATTCTTCTTTGGTGGTTTTCTTTGTTTTCTGTTTCATTTATCTTTTCTTTTTTTTTTTTTTTTTTTTATAAAATTGAGGTTTTCTATGTCATACCAAAAAACCAACCAAGAAACAACTTTCAAGGACAATTTTGTAAGTTTGTCTACAGTTAACATGTCTTTTAACAAAAGAGCCCTTGGTTTGGAGCTCTGCCATGTAATCTTCTAATAATGACATTGGTAACTCATTTTTATGTCTGTCTAACAGATAAAGGGGAGAGTGAGCTGCAGCTTCATTTCTCCACAAGATCTAATGAGAATGCAGAACTGGCTTGCAACTTGTATGGAAATTCAGGTGTTGTCCCACCTTTTGGCAGCTGTCTCTTCACTGCAGTGACCTCAGAGCTGCAGGGAAGTTGACGACATTTGAGTAAATTTTTTTACTTTTTTTTACATTTGAGTGATTTTTTTTTTTTTTTTTTTCCTGGGGAGGAGGGTTGTGCTCTTTTAACCTCAGGCTCTACTGAATGTTTTCAAATCTGAGAGCCAAAACACGTATCTTGGATCAAGAGTGGAAATAACATATCCAGAAAAAAAGTAAATCCCCAGCAAAAGTAAACCCCCAACTAGTTAAAAGTCCTTCTACCAGTGTGGAAGACAGAGGCTTATTTTGAAAAAATAAGTTGTGTTTTTGTTGGGAAACACTGGGTTAAAGTGTAATTCATAGGAACGAAGATGTATGTGGGAGCAGTTCCTGTCAGATGTGCTACTCCTAAGGGAGGCAGATCCCTGCTACTGTGTGTGGGACTCAGCTCTTGCTGTCAGTTCTCTGCACTGAACTTTCTGAGACACTCAAATCACTCTATTCATTAGCTGAGGACTTTCAGCACAAAGATAAGGTGGGTTTTGTCAGCTTTTGTCAATTAATACAAGAAGTGTTTCAGCACCATACATTTTCTTGCTGTTCTTCACATCCAACTTGTTTTTTTAAGCACTGAGCTTTTTCTTGTGTCCTGATCGGCCAAAAAACTGAACAACCAGTGCTCCAACTTTTTTAGAAATGTACAGGAGTAACAAAAGGTGATATTTTATTGAGTGCTGCTGCTGTATTTAACTCATGAAGGAAAACACTTGTTTCTTCTCAGAGCTCCTGCGTATGACTGAATGAGGGGTTTGTTTCTTTCCCACTACTTTTCTTCTCAAATACATTATATGTCACCTTGGCTGTTAATGCCACATTTGCAGCTTCTCTGCATTGAGGGATAAAGGGTTTTCAACAGGAGACATCAAGGACCACACTCACTGACAATTTATAGGCACAGTATTGAGAATTTCAACGTGTTTTATTGTCAACCTTATTATAGGTTCAACATGGTGGTGTCACAGGAAAGCAGCAACTCCTGCCCTCACAGTACAGAGCACCAGCACAACTCACACGGAACCACGTTAGTTACAGACACCGTTTTGGGGGAGTTCAAACACCCTCTCCTGCAAAGGGAACCAACAGGGAATTCTGCTTGTATCAGGTTTGCAGAATAACAATGAGGTTACTCAGAGACTTCATGAGTTTTTATTCCAGCTGTAGTCAAAGATTTCCTTCAGGTATTCTGCCGCCTATGTGTCCCATCATGTGGGTAAGAATCCATTGCTGATACAGTGAAATGTTTTAAAGTCTGAGTAATTAATTTGGGAAGTTCATTTACTTCAAATTCTGAAAAAGTCTTGCTATTAAATGTGGAAACTTTAGTTTCTTCATGATTGAAAAACATAGGATTATTTACAGTTATGCAAAACTGTAATATAAGAACATACAAAGAAAGTCTTGATCACACCTCAGACTAAGGAAGAACGGGATACATCAAATAGCCTGGGAATTTCAGATGCTGTTGTGTATGTGTATGCACACATACAGGCACATACAAACTGATCACTGCCATGGCTCAGTCTTAAGGCAACTCTGTTTCATACAATTACCAACTTGTTTATCCAGTGGCAATAGAACAAACCAGCAGTTTGAAAGCAGAAACCAGACACAGACTTGGTACCTAGGTTCTCTTATCTAAACTAAAATGATTAATTCATTATCTATATCTATCCAGATGTTCGTACTTCTTTATTAAAACAAAGTAGCCAGATCTAAATTATTTTAAAGATATTTAAATATTTAGAACAGTGACATGCTTGCTAGGTAAAGGATTTGGGTTTGGTTTTGCAATGACTATAAAAATCAAATGTCATGATTTCCTCAGAACAGGAGCAAGTCAGAGAATCTGAAAACTCTGCAGGAGTTTGTATTATCTCATATTTACACATTAAAAAAGCTCATAGTGCTTTGTCTAAAAACAATAAAAGGCAGGTGAAATTGCAACTAAGGTTTAACTTGGGTTATACTTTTAAATATAAATTAAAAATCCTGCAATAGCTGCATTGCACAGAAGAAATTAGTGATTTATACATAAGATAATTTTAAGCCACTGATGTTTCTTTCATGAATTCCTCCAGGACGGTCACTACATTCCTGGCTTCTGGCATTTCTGCATGTTCTACTTTCACAATCTTCAGCAGGATGTCTCCACTGCCACAGTTCTTTAGGAACAGGTAGCACTTGAACAAGGCGTAGTGGTTCATTTCAGCCTGGCGGATAAACCTCTTCAGGTTGTTAATGTCCTGGATAGCCTGGGCAAAGAGTAACAGAGCATTTTCTTATCCTCCTATGTGGAATGAAAACACACTATTGTGGAAAATAAAGGATAAATAGCAGGAAAAGCCAAAGTATTTCCAATAGAAATTTTGTATTACTTAATAGTAATACAAGAATTGAATATTGTCTTGGATGCATATTATAGCTTTCATTGTAATGATGCAAAATGTGACAACACAATGTGATGTGTCCAACTTGTAGCATGAATTCTGTTATGGCAGCTCACCTAAGAAGTGTTAGCTACCGAATCCCTGTTACATGAGATTGTGTGTGCAAGTCTCAGATTAACAGTATTTGAAGAAAACAAACAACAGCAACAAAGAAGGTGGGTCTTACTTTAAATTTGAGAAAACACCTTTGGAGCATTCACTGAAGAAACTCTGACACTACTTTACAGCTGTTCTTGTCAACTACAGTAAGCCAGCCCTCAATTAAGCTTCAGAGTTAGTCAGTTAATGGAATACAGACATCATAACAACCTAAAACTTTTATTCAGTGCAAAATAATATTTTGCATATAGTATTTGCTCCCTCAGTAGCTCAAATATCTTCTTAAAGTCTTTAACATATATGAACAGGTACCTTCAATTTAAAGTTTTCCAAAATCTGCCGAAAGAGAAATGGATTTCCACCTTCAGCACCATTCACAAAAGCTTGCATCCAGTCCTCACAGAATCTGTTGCTTCCTATTAAATGTTCAGGAGTACAGAAAAGACATGAGAAAAAGCAAATGAGCTCAACATAAATATACAGCTGCATTTACCTGGTTTAATCTCTTTCACATAACAAGTGATAGCAATATACCTGGGCCAGGAAATGAGTCTTAAGGAAAAACAATACACATGGAAAATAAAAGCAAATCACAGAGTGATTACACAAGACTGTGTTCTGAATGTTGAATCCCTTTTCCCAACATTTGTCAAAATCGCAACAGGAAAAAAAGTTCTGCAGATTCCCTGAATTGTACAAGTCGTATTTTCATGGTAACAAACGAAATGCACTGTGGATTTTACTACCAAGCATTTTCAACCTAGAGTTCCAGTGTGTCTGGTGTAACAAACTATTCTGGTACCTCATAGGAAAACAGAACCTAAAGTTTCTGAACCTGTGATCTGAATATCCTCAACTGCCTCTAATGTCACAGGTCTCAGCAGCTGATGGATCCAAGGGAGCAACAGGAAGTGTTCCCAGCTGTAATCTCACCTGCATTATGCAGCTGGGGCTGAGGTCCACTACAGTCTATAACCATGGACTTGTGCAGTTCCTCTGTCATGGCAATGCACAGGGAGGTCATTGTGCCTTCCTGGACAAGTCCTTGGAGGCTGGCAGCTGCCAGGAACCTGACACAGAAAGCTCTTGTCAGCTCCTTGTCCTGCACACTAAGGGGACTGTCAGACACAGTAGCTGAGTTACTCAGAGGTTCCTTGGGCTCTAAGTATCTTTACCTGCTGATGTCCTTTTCTGTTCTTTCATCTGCATTTTTGACTTCTACAGGAGTGTAACTCAGAGCCTTAAACAAAAAAAGAAAGAAAAAGAAAAAAAAAGGAAAAAGCTGGATGCAACTTCAGTATTGCTTTTGTAGCTATACTGCAGTTATGAGCAATTAATACATAATGTGGTACTTTAAAAATTGTTCTTGTCAAGGCAGTACTCTGTATTATTGCCATTGCAGCTGGTTCTGCACTCAGAAGAAATTCAGCAGTTATACTCTGTTGGCTTGTCCATCCAGAACCTCCTCAAACTCAGGGACTAGAGCTAGGATTAGTCTCTTTTCTGTTTCCAGTGAATTACACAAGACATGTACACAATACAACACCCCTTTTCATTCAGACAATTATGGCATGGACAGACTGCTCATGCTATTTCTGATTTTCTTACTCTAATTTCAGTGTGGACACCATTAGGTAATTTTTTTAAGTGATAGAAGAAATTGTTACGTGCTTCTTTAGCAATAAACAGGGGAAAGTGCTTGCTCTGAATTTAAAAAGCAACAAAAAACCCCCAGCAACAACAAAAAGGGGGGGGGGGTGTTTATTTCCTCCTGCTGGGAAAGCAAATGGAAGATTTTAACCATGCTGGAGTCACTGAGATGCCTTCTGAAGGTCTTTTAGTTACCCAGTTTTAAATACACTTACAGCATGTAGCAAAGAGGCAAGTTTGTCCTGGAAGAGCTGCACCACCCTCTGGATAGGGCAGATGGCATCCTCAAACCAGCTCCTCAGGTAGGGGCTAACACAGGCCTCCAAGTTTTTTTGCTGTAACACACCGAAACATTAAAATTTTAACTAAAAATCAGATTTCTACATCAATAGATCTATTGATCTATTGATCTAAATAATCTACTCAACCTAAAATAATTGGATGTTGGAACCTTCTTAATCTCAAACCACAGTGAACTAAAATAATGAGTCTGAGATTTAAAGCCTCACTTTATCAACAATGAAAGGCTTTGCATTTTAAGAAGCAGCCAGAATTGTAATATGATGGTATATCTCGAGTGAAGACCATGCAACAGCAGATGGGATGACAGAGTGAGTTAAAATCCAGAACTTCCACTAGAAAAATGTGACAAGAAACCCACTAATGTCCTTTCTTAGCATTTAGACATTGATAAGTTCCTTGCAGACCATTACCTTTTATTGGTTACTCTTCTCTCCAAATTTAACTGTTAGTGACCTTTAAGAGATTTATGACTGACACAAAAAGGTCCCTCCTTTCTTTTTTTCTTTTGACTTGTGTGGCTGATAGCACCTTAGACTTAGCAACTCACTACAGTGAGTCAAGTATCTCTCCCTGTATTTCATACTGGTACTTGAAACACCTATTTTGTCTCTATAGATTAGATCTTTCAGATGGTTTTAGCAATTGGCCTGCATAAATACTAATTTTCACCACTTAAAAAAAAAAAAAAGTTATGCTTTACCTCCAAATCAAGGTTTATCTTCAGATTTTGAATGTATTTGTCCAGCTCAAGTCTGAAAGTATCTTCTTAAGGAAAATAAGATGCATCAGTTAAGACCTGTATTTTTCCTTTCAGTATATGGCTGTTACTGACTTTTTCAGTTACTGAAAGGTGTGCACAAATGAGCTTATTTCAAGTAGGAACAAACAAAATGACAAGATAATTTTTACATCGTCTCCCTCTCCATACAGGTAAAGAAAGTTAAAGGTAAGGATATAGTTCCAGACCTTTCTCTGAGCCACCTAAGAAACAAACTACATATTCTGGAGCATTGATGTCTGATTCCAATGTTGCCATTTCCAGAAGACTTTCTTGTTGGAAACGACAGTAGTAACAACCAACTTTACCTTCTGGTATGCTATGAGAAAAGAAAAAAAAAAAAAAAAAGAAAAAAAATTACTTTCTTCCAGATACATCATAATAAATTAGTGCAAAAAGCAGACATATGCGATTTCTGACGTGATTTTAACTGTTAGCACTTGTGGCTCCTATGGCCGTGGTAGGTGCAGCCATAGGTACAGCTCTTAGACCTTCTCTTTTTTCTTCTGTGTGATCAGAGTTGTTTGAAAGGAAATAAACATAAACATCTGTAGTATTTTTTAAGTATCCAAACAGTAAATTATTTAAAACAATATTTTTCTCAAAGTTACCTAAAAAAGGAAAGTGCCATTGTGTAATGCTATTATTAACAGCAGCAACAGACTGGGAACATGGAATCAGGATTAAACCTAAGTGCAGCAGCAGGCAGGCAAGATGTGCCAATGTTCCTTACAGCTCTCATTCACCAGTAATTTCAAAAATTTACCTCAGCCCCACTGATGCTACATTCCCCATTCCTTCAAACAGCGCTCCTTTAGTAAGACGCTTAGCGATGAAACTGCGCAACTCCGTCTCCGCTTCAGCTGGTAAGTTGGTGTCCAGCAAGGAGAGGCTTTAAAAACCAGAAGAAATCGTTACCAAAGGCAAACGTTATTGTTTTGTGTCTCTGAGCATGTGCAGAACCTGCCTCTAGCAGGGGTGTCCCTGCAATCTCTCTCTGGTGATAACTAAGGCAGCTCTGTGACTTTTGGGTCATCATGAGTAGTCAGTGGTTCATCCACTGACCAGGAGTCCGGAGATGTGGTGTCAGCTCATGCTAACCTTCCCGGCAGCTACGGATAAGACACTGCCCTCTTTGTTCCTATGTTCCCCCAACTATAATACAGAGCTTATGGAAAGATGTCCATTGAAAAATTAATAAATTCCCGTTCCATGTTACCTACATGAAAAACTAAGTCAATACAGCAATACCAAGTACTAGTAGCAAAAAAAAGAGAGTTCAAACTCAAGGATGATAGTTTCTATTTAATACATTACTTGAGCTCTGTATATGTGTCCATTCCCCAGGTATTCCAGAAGTGCCATGAGGAGTTCAGAATGCTTTCACAAGGGTTGTGTTTTGAAAGGACTGCAGAGGACCTAACAGTGATCTGACAGCAGTACGGCAAAGACTTCAAATCGGGATATTCCCTTGCTTGTGCTGCTCTGCAGCTCGGCTTTACCTAAAGTCTTCGGTGGAGGGTGTGTGTCCCACGGCGCCGCCGGCACTGGCATCCCCGCCGGCAGCTCCCTGCGGCGCGGACCTGGAACCCAAGTGAGTTTACAGCCGTGACACGCAACAGGGAACAGCGGCTGCAGCAGGGAAAAGGCACGGCCCGAGGGCGAATAAAACCATGAGCAGGGATTACGTGCATTTATGGGACGGAAAGGATCTCACCGGGGAGAAAGAGAGGAGGACAAAAAATAAAGGGAATTCAGGGAGGTGGGAACGGCCAAGGCCTGGGCACAGCCTCCCCGCGGGGAACCCGGCGCCTCACCTGCGGTAGCCATAGAGGCCGTGGTAGGTGCAGCCATGCCGCTCCGGCCGCCGCTCCTCGGCCGCGCCGCCGCCCTCCTCGCTGCTCTCCAGCTCCCGCTCGTCGCCGTCCGGCAGCGCCGGCAGCATCGCGGCCGCGGCCCCGCCTGTGCCGCGGGGAGCCACCGAGCCGCGCTGCCGGCCGCCCCGCCCCGCCGGGTGTGCCGTGAGCCCGCCCCGTCCCGGCGCTGGGAGGAGCCTTCGGAGCGCCCGGGCCGTGTCCTCAGCGAGGGCGGTTCCGAAATGCCTCCGGCTGCTGCGGGTCCTCCGTTCGTGCAATGCACAGAAAAATGCAACACAGGCACCGCAGTGCCTCTGTCAGTACAAGTAATCCTTCAAAAGCCGGTCACTGACTTAACGGCAGGACCTGCTCAAATCACATTTGGAATTATAGAATGGTTTGGATTGGAAGGGGATTTGGCAGGTTTAGGCATGCTAATGCTGCTTTTAAAAAGTTCTGCTTCTGAAATACATTTTCCATGTTAAACCAGCACATTTGTTAACTCAGCGTTGTGGCTACCAGGTAGTTACAGAATCACGATCACAGAATCGTTGGGGTTGGAAGGGACCTCTGGAGATCATCCAGTCCAACTCCCCTGCCAAGGCAGGGTCACCTGGAGCAGGTGGCAGGGAACACATCCAGGTGAGTCTCCAGAGAGGGAGACTGCACAATCTCGTTTTGCAGACAAGCCCTGCAGGGAGCAGCTGTGACCCCCAGCTGCAGCAGGGCCACGGCCAAGAGTTGGACGTGGCTGATGGCTGAACTTGATGATCTTACAGGTCTTTTCCAACCTCAATGATTCTGTGATTCTCTTCTAAGCACCCAGTGTACCTGTGGTGAGCTGGAGAGCCATGGGGTAACACAGACACACACCCTGATGGATTGTCACTGTAACAGAGGGACCAGCCCCGTCCAGGTACAGGTAACTGACGGCTCAACACATTTAAGTCGCTTTTATTGTGTTCTCTCACCCAGCAACACAGGTATTGCCAGCACCAGAACAGTGCACAGAGCAGCCAGCTTCTTGCCCAGTAACATTTAGTGAGGAAAACACAGTTTCTCTGTGACATTAAACACGAAGACAAGCAACAGTTTAGATTAGGAGGAAACTCTTTGCTCTGAGAGTGATGAGGTCCTGGAACAGGATGTCCAGAGAAAGTTGTGGCTGCCCCATGCCTGGAAGTGTTCAAGGTCAGGTTGGACAGGGCTTGGAGCATCCTGGTCTAGTGGAAGGTGCCCCTGCCCATGGCAGAGGAGTGGAACGAGAGGGGCCTTAGGGCCCCTCCCAGCCCAAACCACTCCGTGATGCTTCTGTGACACGCTGGGGCCCCTCAGCAGAGCACTTACACCCCGACTGGGCAAAATGGCGGCGGCGCCGTGAGGCGTCACGGGACCGCATGGGGGGGGGGGAGGCAACGCCAGCGCGTCACGTGCCCCCCCACCCTACTGGCGCGGTGTGTTCTGGGAGTTCGGAGGCCGCAGCGGCGCCTGAGGGGGCTCGGCCGCCATTTTGTGCCTCTCGCTCGGAGCGGGGCGGCCGCGCGGGCGCTGCGGCTCTGAGGGAGCGCTCGGCTCTCCTGCTCTGTAGGCCGGGGTGACGCCGCCATGGGCCGTAAGAAGAAGAAGCAGTTGAAGCCTTGGTGCTGGTATCCTTCTGTGTGGGACGCGGCGGATGCAGAGAGCTGGGTGGGGGAGGGTAGCGGCGCGGCCTGGCGCGGTCGGGACTCGTTGCCATTCCGTTGCGTCCCGAGATGGGGCTCAGTCCTGCTCCTCACGCTCCTTACGGTTTGTCTCGGTGCTTGGCCCTGTTCCAGCCCTGTGCCCCTCGGGATGGGGCCCGGTCCGTGCCCTTCCTGTGCTCCCCGCACGGCCTTGGGCCCGCTCCCGGCGCCCTCGCCGAGGCCGCGGCCTCCCGCCCGATCCCTAAAGCCACAACGGGAAATGGAGAATAGCCTTTATCCCCTGCGAGGGATAAAGGGAGAAAATCCTTCTACTGATAAATGTATTTATTCGCGGAGTGAGGTGGGATGTGGTTATAAGAGAATTTTTTTAAAGCTCTTTTTTCTTCGTGACGGGGGGAAGCTTTCAATTTGTAATTGCTGCATCATGATCAGGTTTAATTTTTTGGTATCCAGAAATACTGGTGGATTTTTATTTGATCGCTCCTTGAGAATGTACTTACTGTTGTGATTACAAATTTACCTTCTCACGTTTCTGTCCTCTAGAATTGTTTAATAAAGAAATTTAAAAGGTGTTCCGAGGTATTTTACCATTTTGTCTTGGAAGGTATCTGTGACTGTTTTAGGTATTAATTTATTTCACGTTTTGGAGGTAGTAAGGGACACATTGTGTTAGCAATGTTAACATTTTCTTAATAATAACTAGCTAATGTATATTTGTCTCGCTTAGGAAAACGTGTGAAGTATTTGCTGAAATATCAATGCTCGCCCACAGAAAGGAAATGCAGTTTGCCTCTTCTATTACACAGATGTCCAAATTGTTCTATGCTTAAAATATTTCTTTTTAAAAGTAGAGAATTCTTCAGTTACTGCAGTAAATTATGCTGTGTCATAATAGATAGCTGGATAACTGGAAGAGGAAGAGAATTTTTAACTAAAACCTTTGTTCCCTTTTATGAGTGTTAGTTACTGGTAATTGATTAAGGAGACACTTCTGAGTGATTTGCGTAATTTCCCTTTTGCTGATTTCAAGCCTGTTTCTCCTTTAATGCTGTAACAGTGTTCACACGCCTGAAGAGAAAAATAGCTAGGACTTGAAAACCCTGAGTCAAACAATATAGAATCAGATGATGATTCTGATTGCCTGCGGACACCTTCCCACTTTTGTACCTGTTTAAAGAGGGGTGTGGTGGACTGGATGAGGATGTTTGCTTTCAGACATCCATGAAATATTTGTCACCCTTTGAACGCTCAGAGATGCTTCTTGTGCCTTTCTTTTGCTTCAGGAAAAATCACACTGGTGCTCATTGCCTTAGTCCTATATAAAAGGTCACTTCCAGTATTAAATGTTCCCTTAACAGTCTTCAATAGGTACTGTAATAGGGATTTTGATGATGAGAAAATCCTTATACAGCATCAAAAAGCAAAGCACTTTAAATGCCATATATGTCATAAGAAACTCTATACAGGACCTGGTTTAGCTATACACTGCATGCAGGTAAGGAGTGTTAGATTTATGTGAGCTTTTCTTTACAGCATCTAAAACTGAAATGAAGTGTCCTTAAGAAGGGCGGTTGGGGGCTTCCAGAGTCTATAAAACTGGTGAGAAGAAGGCAGCAATGGCCTGTTTGCAGCACAGGAATCCTGCTGTGTCAGCACTCAAATGGCCGCTGTGCAGCAGAGATCTTTCTCAGGAGTTGTGTAGGAGTGAAGGAGTTGTGCTGTCTAGTTTTTCTAAGTTTATGTAAGCTGGTTTTAGGGGTAATAGTAGTTACCAGAAATTAGGATGCCCAGATCAAGAAAATGCTTGGCCAGAGAGATTAGTCCCATTAAGGATGTTCCTTTTAGTCTTGAAACTGCCTGAAGAACACAGAGAATTTACACTGAAATGTGGTCAGCAGGATTTGTTTAGGTTTTTTGTTTGTTTTTTTTTTTTTTTCCTTTAGGTACATAAAGAAACAATAGATGCTGTTCCAAATGCTATTCCTGGAAGAACAGACATTGAACTGGAAATCTATGGAATGGAAGGCATTCCAGAAAAAGACATGGAGGAACGGAGGAGGTTACTTGAACAAAAAACTCAGGGTAAGGTGTAATGTGGCTGTTTGTCTTAATTCCCTGGTGTGTTCCTTACTCAGCTCTGGCACTTGGTGAGGGTAGGATTTAATGCCTTCTCTGATGGCAGCTCCAGGCATTTGCCAGCCACGTGGGAGGGATTTTTCCTTTCCTGTCCAGAAGTAGCTGCTCCCAGAGCAGCTCCAACAATTACCTAATGAATATGGGCATGGTCGTTTATTTGTGGGGGTAAGGGAAGGAAAGGCTAGAGGTAAAATTGTCCTGATGGTTTTCAAATGCTTCAGTTTCTTTGCTGTTCAAGCATACCTTTGGTTGAACTGCTTTGGTTGCTGCTGGGCAGTGTGACATTGGCAGAGGGCAGATCCTTCTGTGTGTTCAGGCAGTGTAAGTCATGTCCCTTCCCTTTATTTGTGGCTATACGTGGGCTCATGCAACGTTCTTTGTATTTATGTGACTTTTTGAACAATGACAAGGTTTGAATTTTGCTATTAGTTAATTTTATGGAATATAATTTGTGTTCACTTTGACCATATGTGTTGAACTGTCTGCAGAGAGCCAGAAAAAGAAACAACAGGATGATTCTGATGAGTATGAAGATGATGAATCTGCAGCTTCAACTTCATTTCAACCCCAGCAAGTTCAGCCGCAGCAGGGGTACATTCCCCCAATGGCACAGCCAGGTTTGCCTCCTGTGCCAGGTGCACCAGGGATGCCTCCAGGTGAGAGGGTGTGTTATGTTAGGTAGTTGCTGAAAACCTCAGTAGAAACATTAATTGCTGCTTGTAACACGGGTCACAGAATAGTTCTGGGAGGTGCAGATAAGTAGTTTCTTCATTTTCTTCCTCTCTTCTGTGCATGAGCCAGTCTTCATTGGTGGGCTAGATTCAGATACCTAATGCTGGCATGTAGATTGAAGGCATGTGGTAGTAAGACATGTTAGTGCTTCAAACAGAAGTCTGACAGTGATTTGTTCATGGTATATGTAACAGGGTTTTGGGAACAGGGCAGAGCTGCTGTGTATCTGGAGACTTCTAACACAGAACAGGCTGTTGATACACAGGCCACAGATGCGGTGAGGAAAGAATTTTCATCAGTGAGTGAAGAATGGTCTCTTGTAATAAGATAACTTCTTTGGAGACCACTGAGAAAATGCACAGTCTTGCAGGGCTGAAGACAATCAAAGTCAAATTTGCAGATAGTATTTATATTGCACTGTTTGAATTTTGAAATAATATTGCTTACAGTCTTTTAAAACTTGCTGTAAAGCATTTATCCATTGTAAACTTAGTACATGACATTTGTTTGCAACTGTATGTTATCAGAGTTGTTGAAAATGTATTTTTATTTTAAGGTATACCGCCATTAATGGCAGGTGTTCCACCTATGATGCCTGGAATGCCTC